TAATAAAGCAAAATTTAAAAAAAAATCATAGTGAATTTTTATTTCCTATAAAACAGGAAATAAACTTTTCAATCTGGGCCATATCTGTGCTAGTTTGTTTTACTCATACAATTATTCATTTTTATAGGATAAAGAAAACTAAAGTTGAACCAAATACACAGCTGTGAAAATATACGAAAGATAGTACAACATATATATCAAATTTTAAATGCTATAAAAAATGACAACTAAAATTGACAAAAAAAATTAATGATCAGGAAGAAAATAAGACTTTACAAATAATAATCTAAGTAACAATCATGAGCTAAGTTTTAAAGGATGTCAAAAGTCCAGAATTTGGTAGACTTATTATTTTAGTTGGCAAAGCCAGGCTGCATATTATTTCTATAACAAGCATAGTCCTTTATTTTAAAAAATCCTCACTAATTCATAATCTATAATTTAGCCAGAACTTGCTGAAATCCTTCACACTAATTTTGAAAAGAGAACTTGAAAGCAAATTAACAGCACAAATTCAAAAACCATGTTTAAACTAGGGTGCGATCTGAAAGCTCTTAAAAAAAATCATAAATATTAGATAAATTATACACTATTCACTAAAAACCAAATGTATTTAGATATATTAACAGACTGTATAGTTATATTTGAAAGGAATAAAATTACTTGCAAAGCCTCCTAAAAATTACGAACATCATTCATGAAAGCAGTTTTTTTACTTAGTCTCATACTGGTACATATATTAAAGTATATAAAGTATATAAAATATATACACTGGCACACATGCTAAAGAAGATTGGCCCTATTTAGAAAAATCTCTTCTGAAGCTTTTGTGGTCACTCTCTTTCCTTCTATATGCTGAAATTTTCTGGTCTGCTTTCAACAGTTTCACCAGGACATGCCCCCTGGTGGAAATATAACATTTGTGTACCAGATCTCTCCTTAAGCCTATTAAAAGATATGTACAGGAACTCAAGAAACAGTAGGCGGGAAGGGCACTTGCCTTGCACGTGGACCACCCCAGTTCTATTCCTGGCACCCCATATGGTTACCCAATGCCAGTCAGAAGTGATCCCTGAACAAAAAGCCAGGAATAAGCCCTCAGTGCCACTAGGTGTGGCTCAAAAACAACTCCCACCCAGTTGAATGTAAATCTACACTGTGCCTCAGAAAATCAAATACCTCAAAATCAGCTTAATTAAAGGATAAAAGACCTATACCAAAAAAATTACAAAACACTAGGTAAAGGTAAAGGCCCTCCCGTTGATCGTCGATTTGCTCGAGCGGGCCCAGTAACAACGTCTCCATTGGAGATTTTGTTGTTACTGTGTCTGGCATATCGAATACTCTCGGTAGCTTGCCGGGCTCTCCGAGAGGGGCGGAGGAATCGAACTCGGGTCGGCCATGTTGGCCGCTTGTAAGGCGAACACCCTACCGCTGTGCTAAGGAATGAAAGATGATACAAGAAAATGGAAAGACAAGACCTGCTCATGGATTGGGAGGATTAAATCATCAAAATACTCCCCAAAGCACTGTACAGATTCAATGCAGTAAAGTTACTTGGATAGCCATGTCATTTTTTAAAAGAAAATAACATACCTGAAATACGTATGGCACAATAACCACCCCCACCTCCACTACCCAAAACAGACCAAAACAGCTAAAGCAGTCCTTGCAGAAAAGAAGATGGGTGGCATCTTTCCCCAACTTCAAATAGTACTACAAAGCAGAAGTAATTAAAACAGCATGATACTGGAGTATAGATAGACCCTCAGATCAATGGAACAGACTTGAATATCCTGAGACACACTGGCAGGTATATATATATTCAGTTTATCTCTGATAAAGAAGCAAAAAATATGAAGTAGAGCAAGGAAGGGCTGGAGTGATAGCACAGCGGGTAGGGTGTTTGCCTTGCATGCGGCCGACCTGTTTGGCCCAGGTTCAATTCCTTTGCCCCTCTCAGAGAACCCGGCAAGCATCCAAGAGTATCTCGCCCACACAGCAAAGCCTGGCAAGCTACCCGTGACATGTTTGATATGCCAAACACAGTAACAACAAGTCTCACAATGGAGATGTTACTGGGCCTGCTTGAGTAAATCGATGAACAACAGGAGGACAATGA